TTGCCGTTTTGTCATTTTTATTGGCGATTTGTAAATTTTAAAGGAGGTTTTGTATTTAATCCCTTTTTAAAACCTCAAAAAATTGACACTTTTGTATGGGAGGTACCTGTAAATCGACTCCGATTGGCTTCAAACTTTCTGAGATTTCATTTTTTGGGAGCGAAATAAGATTCTGAAAGTTTGAAACCAATCGGAATCAATTTACTCGAAATTTTGACTAAAATTACCAATTTTTGGACAATTTTGTATGGGAGGTACCCGTTAATCGATTCTGATTGGCTTCAAACTTTCTGAGGTTTCATTTTCCGGACAAAGAATAAGATTCTGAAAGTTTCATGTTGATCGCATTTGATCGCATTTGATCGCAGAAGTTTGGTTTTTGGCCCCCAATTTTTGTCGACATTTTCTTGGAAAAAATTAAGGGCCAAAAACCAAACTTCTGCAAATGCGATCAACATGAAACTTTCAGAATCTTATTTTTTCTACAAAAAATGAAACCTCAGAAAGTTTAAAGCCAATAAGAATCGGTTTACGAGCACCTCTCATACAAAATTGTCGAAGTTTTAGTTAAAGTGACCGATTTTTCACTTTATTTTCATTATTATATTTTCACTGCCTTTATTTCAAGAAAATTCACAAAAAATAACCAAAAGTAGGGTAGAGGTTTGTAGGTTGAACCATGATGTGCTATTTTGTCCACAACATTTTTTTAAATGAAGATATCTTGGATTCATGGATACCGTTGGAAAGAAGATCTAAAGAGCTCACACTTTGCCAAAGAAACTTATCCGATTTACTTGAAAAAGAAATTTTTTAAACCAATTTTCCTCACAGGCTTCAAATCGAGAAAAAAAATTTAGGCTTGTAAGTTGAGCCACCGTAAAAAAATCACTTGAAATGTGACAAATATCAGCCAAAGACGCCTGAATTGCCAAAATTTTAAATTATAGTGAATTTTCATATGTTCTATGGGCTTCAGATACAAATATCAGTGAACATAGTATTAAAATGAGGAAAATCCTTAGTATCATCATCAAAATCGTAATTTCACTGAAATATATTAAAATGCTTTAAAATTGATTCTTTTTCCGCTTCAAACAGAAAATAATCATGAAAAAAGCATCAAAATACAAACTCAAGTAAATAACAATGGTATTTTGCCTACATTTTCAGAGGTGGCTCAACTTACATTCTTGTAGACATTTCAAAAAAGTTGAGGAAAAACCATTCCATATCACGATATGTTTAGAATTCTCTTCGGGTTTTGAAAATGCAATAAAAATATAACACAGCCATATGTTCAACTTTATGGATGTATACAAATTTTGGAATTTTAATTATTTTTCATCAAATCGCACACTATGCTCGTATGAGCTATTTCTGAAGGGTATTTTCGCCCGGAAACGGCACCAAAAGTAAAGTTTATTTGCTTAATAACGACGACTGTTCGAACTTCGGTATATTTCCCTCTCAAAATATAAAATATCACGGGTGGTTCAACTTACATGCTGGCTCAACTTACAAACCTCTACCCTACCTACGGACAACGCAGGCCAACGGTACGGAAAAGTTCGGGATTACCAATGTAATTCTTTTTATTTGACACAATTTTGGTTGTTTGTAAATAGTTGAAATTATGTATCTTCAATTTTATTTATTGTCAATAAATTGAATACATTTTCCATCGATCTATTTGCTATCGGCCAATATAAAAAGAATTTTTTTCACAGAAAGAAAACTCCAATTAAAATTTAATTGAAAAGTATTTTTTTTTATTGGAAAACTTACGATTCTAAACGCATAATAAAATTTTTTTAACATAAATAAAAAAAATCATTTAAAACCTATTCAAAATTTCGAGCTTTGTTCATCCAACACATGAAGGGTATCTTTTTGAAACAAAATTAAAATTGTTAACATTTTCGTGTTGGCATTGGGTGATGCATATCGAATGTATGACAGAACAATTTTTGAATTAAAAAGTAAATAGAGAAGGAGTTCAGCCCAGGCGCTATCAATCCTTATAATGATAATATAAATGTTTTTTTAGGGAAAACAATTATATCGATAAAATGCTTTCATTCTCTAAACAAATGGTTATTTACACAAATCAACATATTTCGGTTGTAAGACAAATTGATGATAACATTTATTCAATTGTCACTATCAAATCATCGCCTTCCAGTTTCATACCATTGCTAATTTCCAATTTCTTAATAGTACCAGCAATGGGCGCTTGAACAACCATTTCCATTTTCATAGCTGACAAAACGACAAGTGGTTGACCTTTCTCCACATGATCACCTTCTTTGACACGGACATCTGTAATATAAATCAAAGTGATTAGCACAAAATCTACTGCCGATTACGTCCCGCATAACATACCGATGACTGTTCCTGGCATTGGTGCACCGACTTCATTCTTGTTTCCTTTAACGGCTTTTGGATGAATGTGAAGTTCCTATTTAGAAAAATACAAAATAATATTAAAATGTTGAATTTCTTCTCAATCTGTGATTTGATGAGGAGCACTTACTTTTGATGCATCTTTGTCTTGGATGAATACCGATCGTAATTGACCGTTGAGTTCAAAGAAGACTTCTTTTTCACCGTTGGCTGTAAGATCATCTGCCAAAGCGAGTGCTTTGATTCCAAGAGTTTTTCCTTTTTCAATTGTCACTTCGAATTCTTCGCCAACTTTAGGTCCGGTCAAGAAAATGCGGGTGTTAAGCTTGTCAACTGGTCCGTATTTGTCGCGGAAGTTTAAATAATCCTTGGTGACTTGTGGATAAAGTGCAGCTGACATAACATCGTGTTCGGTTGCCTTGGGCCAAGTTTCTTTGATTTCTTCGGTCAATTTTTTGAAGTCAAGTGGTGACAATGAAGCACCTGGACGACCTTCGATACGTGGCATATCTTTAAGAATGCGTGAACGAAGTGGTTCGGGGAATCCACCATGTGGAATACCAATGGCACCTTGCAAGAATTCAACCACCGATTTCGGGAAAGACAATTCTTCGGCTTTGTCAACAACATCCTTCGATTTCAATTTGTTTTGAACCATGAACTGAGCCAAATCACCAACCACTTTTGATGATGGTGTGACTTTGATGATATCGCCGAGCAATTGATTTGCTTCAGCATATGCTTTCTTTACATCTTCGAAGAAATCGCCCAAACCAAGTGAGTAAGCTTGGAATTGAAGATTGGTGTATTGACCGCCTGGGATTTCGTTCATGTAAACCTATGTGGAAAATTAACGAAATTTGTATCAATAATTAGTTGGCAATGTGAAAATAATGTAGCGGAAAAGTCAATCATACATCAGCATTTCCAGATTTCATTGTGGTTGCACATTCGAATGGTCCGTACAATGTACGAGTTTGTTCCCAGTATGCTGAATATTCCGAAATGTCGTTCAAATCGTATTTGGTATCGAGTGGTGAGCCTTGAAGTGAAGCAATAATTGCTCCCATACTTGGCTGCGAGGTCATTCCACTCATACTGTCTACGGCCACATCCACAACATCAGCGCCTGCTTCAGCACAGGCCAACATACTTGCTACACCAGCACCTGATGTGTCGTGTGTGTGTATATGGATTGGTACACTTGGGTGTTTAGCACGGATTGCTTCAACCAACAATCTAAAAATTATGGAACATATTGAGTAAAATCAAATTTGCGCTGGATACTTTGATAAATCGACCATTCCACACGAAATCGAACAAGAATTGGATCGACCCTCTCCGAATTGGCTGAAAATTGACTTGGAGTCTTTTTCGATAGATAATGAGAAAACCAAAATCTCTCTCTTATGACATTTTGATCTGAGAAAACTGCTATTTTTTCGCCAAAATACATGAAAATATGAACATTTGAACATCGGTTTACCTATAAAGGACGACGATAGTCTCCCGTACATTTGAAACATCAGTTTGACGTCTCCATTTCCACCATATAGATTTACATTTGAGACTTCAAGTCTCAATGCAAAAATAGACGGAGAGAGTGGAGACGCCAAAATGATGTAAAAACTATTTTCCTCCTTTGGTCTGAAATCGACATTTCTTCATAGAACAAACGAATGGTCGAAATCTGCATACAAAATCACACTTATGGCATTAAAAACCCACTTATGATGGCCTGGTATGAGTCTATTTCCACGTAATTTTGGACGAGGAATCAATCTAGAACTAAATCAACCCTGTCTGAAGGGTGTAAAAGGTCGAAAAATGGCCCTGTTCCAGCTTATGTTTTCAACTCGCAATATTAGATGCAGTTAGATTTTAGTTGGTGCAAACCCTTTTTTTCGATTTTTTCAATTTTTTGGAAAATTTACACTGGGTGAACTTGAAAATGTGGGCCACTTACAGGCCTAAGATTTTGGTTTTCTCATTTTCTATCGGAAACAAAACTCCAAACCAATTTTCAGCCAATTCGGAGAGGGTAGATCCAATTCTTGTTCGATTTCGTGTGGAATGGTCGAAGTATACTCACTTAGCGGCACGTGGTTTTAATAAACCCGCCATATCTTTGATACAAAGCACATGTGTCCCAGCCTTGACCAGCTCATCGGCCAAGTCAGTGTAGTATTTCAAGTTGTACTTCGTTTTATTTGGATTGCTAACATCTCCGGTGTATGAGATTGCAGCTTCAACAACACCACCTGAAATATTTTGATGCATTCGATACGTATGATATAATTTCATGGGAAATTTCAATGCATCAAACACATTGACAAATCAAAACTAACCTGCTTTGTCGGCGGCTTCCATGCCCAAAATCAAATTTGGCAAGTAGTTCAATGAATCAAATACACGGAAAATGTCCATACCAGCTTGTACTGATAGATCACAGAATTTATACACAACATTGTCTGGATAATTTGTATAGCCGACAGCATTGGCACCACGCAACAACATTTGGAAGGGAATGTTTGGAATACGACTTCTCATTTCAGCCTAAAACAATTGAAAACATGCATATCACAAATGGATCGAAATCAATCCAATTCCATTTCATTTCTTACCAATCGTTCCCATGGACACTCATGTAGAAAACGTAGCGAAACATCAAACGTAGCTCCACCCCAGTTTTCCAATGAATACAAATTGTTGAATTTGTGTGCAACGAATGGTGAAATTTTTAGGAGATCATGGGTACGAACACGAGTAGCCAACAACGATTGATGAGCATCACGGAATGTTGTGTCCATCAACAACAACTCCTTGCGATCACGAACAGCTTTTGCGAAAGCTTTAGGACCATCTTTAACCAAAATATCACGCAATCCTTTCGGTGGCTCGGTCACTTTTGATTTTCCAATGAATTTAAAATAAAACCAATAATTAATTTTTTTGCATTTAAAAATATTTATCTGAAAAATCCATGCAATTCTATATAAGTTCAAACATTGTGAGTACATAAAACAGACATTTTTGATAGAAATTCTATTGAACTCAACGTAATTTTATTTTTTGTTGATTGACATTTTATTTATTAAACACAGTTTTATGCACTCAAATTAGTCACACGTTAAGCAAGCAATAAAAGCCCCATGCTTTGTTTGTCAATACAAACAAAATAATTTGTTCTAAATAAAAAAAGATGGACAACGCAATTATCATGCGACGATGTTTTGATACTATACCTTTTTTTATGCCTCTTTTCTCTTTATCAATTGCCTCCGGCGACAAATCTGTGTGAAATGATCATTTGTTTGGAAATACAAAATGTGATGTTCTTTAAACCGTATTCACCCATAACAAATCAAATGATGGGAAAAAATACTTCTAATTGGTTTCATGAGATGAAAATGATTTTTTACAACTTTAGAATAACAGCGATTGATTCTTGTTTTTTTTGTACAATGAGATTTGTATATAGTGTGAAAAGTTGCTAAATTCTTTGTAATGGCTTCATAGTATCGAAAATATTTGAAAATCATTTATTTTTGAATGAATGAAGTATCTTGTTTAAACAGGTTAGCCGTTTGAAATTATAGTTTTTATGTTAATTTGAGTTTTTTTTTGTTCGATTCATGTGTAGCTTCGAATTTTACAAATAATTTTTAAAAACACATCAAAGTTTTGATCGAGTATTTTAATTCAAACTACTAGCGCTCCATTGTTTAACATGAAATCTAAAGAAAGCAATATTTCTATTTTTGTTGCTACTAATGACTTGAAAAGTAAACGTTAACGATATATTTAATGGTGTAAATTCAAGCGTGAATATTTTCTAAAAGTGTATAAAATGAGCCCTGGTTAAAAAAACACCCAATAAGCTGATAGCATAAGCATGCAATTTCGACTAATTGAAACTTACCCAATGGGACCTCTGGGACATGTGGTACAACTTCGGATGGTTTCAATGTTGTTGCTAATGGTGTTTGGGGTCCATTGACGAGAACCTGGAATGAATTGTTATTAATATTGTTGTAATCAAAAGTGTATGCGCTGCGCTGTCAACTTACTTCTCCCAAATAGTTGAGTAATTTTTGTGCTGCAAAAAAAAAGAAGGATGGATTATATAGATTTAAAAAAATTGACGTATAAAAATATTGCGAGAAAATAGAAACAATGATAAACCTCTGTTCTGTGATGCTTGGAATTTGAATAGCTGCGGATGTTCATCGATGAAGTAAGTGTCGAGGACGCCGCTCAAGAATTTTTGATTCTCCAAGACGTTAAGCAAAAATGGAATGTTTGTCTTGACACCGCGAATACGGAACTCACGAAGTGCTCGAGTCATTTTGGCCGAGGAGGCTTGCAAATCGTGTGCATGTGAAATTACTTTGACCAAAAGTGAATCGTAGTATGGACTGATGATGGCACCAGCATAAGAAGCAGCACTGTCCAAACGAATACCCATACCCTCACCCGAACGGAACACTTCAAGACGACCGGTGTTTGGTTGGAAATCGTTGGCCGGGTCTTCGGTTGTGACACGGCATTGAATTGCATATCCGTCCACTTTGATTTTATCTTGTGTGTATCCCAATTCTGGGAGTGTAATACCTTCAGCAATGCGAATTTGTGATTGCACCAAATCGATGCCGGTAATTTCTTCAGTTACTGTGTGCTCGACTTGAAGACGAGCGTTCACTTCAATGAAGTAGAAATTGCCTTTGTCGTCGCACAAGAATTCAACGGTACCAGCATTTTCATATCCAACATGTTGAGCCAATTTAACGGCACACTCAGTCATACGATCACGTACATCGACTGGCAATCGTGGTGCTGGTGCAATTTCAACCACTTTCTGGTGACGACGTTGTACGGAACAATCACGTTCATACAAATGAACCACATTTCCGGCTTTATCTCCCAGTAATTGCACTTCAATGTGACGAGGACGCTCGATAAACTTTTCAATAAACATGGCACCGTTGCCGAAAGCCGATTTAGCCTCTGAACTGGCACGATTGAACATCTCTTCGACTTCTTCCATTTTGCGCACAACACGCATACCACGGCCACCACCACCATAGGCGGCTTTGAAAATCACTGGTAATCCATGTTTTTTGCAAAAAACTAGCGCTTCATCGGCACTAGTTACGGGCGCATCAGTTCCTGGAACAATTGGAACACCGGCGTCAATAGCTGCCTATTGGAAATAAACACAAATAATGATGAAAATGTCGACATACAGAAGTGTTATCCATTTGATTGTACCTTTCTAGCGGCCACTTTGTCTCCCATTTGCTGCACCACATATGGGGATGGTCCGATGAATCGAAGTCCTGCATCGATCACTGCTTGAGCAAAGTCACTACGTTCGGAAAGGAAACCATAACCAGGATGCACGGCATCTACATCATTCTCTTTGCACACACGAATCACCTCTGGAATACTGAGATAAGCCTCAACCGGTGCCAGTCCTTTGCCCACCTATCGGAATCGTATACACATCGGCATTGGGGAAATAAATTCACTAAAATTGTGAAAATCCATTTGAACATACCAAATAAGACTCATCTGCTTTTTGTCGGTGCATATGCATTTTATCCTGTTCGGAGTAAATGGCCACCGATTTGATACCCAATTCGTTACATGCTCGGAACACTCGAATAGCGATTTCACCTCTGTTTCATGTCAAAAGCAAATACGGTTAATTTTTTTTGTTGAAAATAGTCATTTAAAAGCAATAAGACATACCTGTTGGCTACGAGCACCGAGCGAATCGGTTTGTATTGAACCTAGAAAAAAGCGAATACATATTTGTGTTAAACTACTGAGCACGAAGGGAATACAAACTAGAATGGCTAAATAATGTCAAACCGATATGCCGGCAAGGTTATCGCATTTTGTTTTTGATGAACAAAGTCGACACGAAGCGTAGCAAAAACACGAGACGAGCGATAAATTTTCGAGTTGACGTCAATATTTTTATAAATAATACGATTGATTCCAGAGTGTCAACAATATTTGCTGGAATATTTATGACAAGGAATAATTGGAGTAATTACAGTTGAAAACAAAAAAAAGGAACCAAAGTAAATAACAATGGAAAATAATAAATTACGTAAGTAAAGAGGCTTGGCTGAACAATTTGAGCATATTTGTGGTGAGAATTTCATTGAATACGGATTGTAAACAAACCAAAGTCGAAGTCAAAAACTGTTATTTTTACATCACATTTAAATGAATCGAGTTATTCTTGTCAATGTTCTTCTCAACAAAAACAAAACAATTACAAATAGCAACGGAAATACATGATGAGAAAAAAACCGATCGTTCATTGTACGTTCGCCCAGTCACGTCGTATGGTGGTGTTTTGATAAGGTTGCTCACGAGTATAATTAATGCGAAAAAGCGGTTGCTATTTTTAGAATGTGTCGCTTCATGTCGTGTGAATCTCGTGTCATTCTTCTACTTACTTGTTTTGTTGAATAGGGTTTTGTTCCAATTGACCAGAATCGATGAAGATGTGCTTGGCGCAAGGCCTTCAAACCATATTGTTGCCCGTACACAACCATTTTGTATTGTCCTTATTGAACTTTCTTTCGTTGTGCTAAATTAAAATCCTCTTTTATCTGCTGATGCCTCTACACAGAGGCAGAAAAATAAATAACAGAAAGAAAAACAAAACAATTAGCAAAAAAAGAGCACCTTAAAATGACGCCAAGTTCATTCACACTGAATATTATATAGCACAGAAATGCGATAGAATTAAATTAAAGAGCAATGTTCAACTTCGTACTGCATAAATTTACGATTGTTTGCACAACTCGTTCACGAGACTGATTGCAACAGACTTGTCTACGGTTTGATGGCTTGAGAATGAATAAAATCAACGTACTTGACGCTGGACGACCAAAGGCCCGTATGCAGTGCTAGCTCGATAAAGTAAAACGCGTTGATCTTGCGGTGTTAACGATGCGGCTGTCAAGTTCGTGTTTGGCGCATGTTATGATTATTATCGATTTCGATTTACAATTTAGTATGATTCAATTATGCTTATTATAACTATATTCCACGACTGTTGCTACTAAACGTGTACTTTAGAGTAATATTCAATTTGTTAGCGAACGATTGCAATCTAAATCATTTTGTTCATCGACAGATTGAATGACCTCTGTTTCCTTGCAACTCCTCAGAAACATTTCCAAAAATTGGTGGTGATAGACAGAGAGTGAGTGTGAGAGACCTAGTTTAATTTGATTCGTTTTCGACTCAAATGACCGTGCGTGTCGCCACGTGCGTAGCTTCGGTCAATTTATCAATAGAAATGTGACACTTCTTTCCGACGATCCCATTCGCACAGTGTTTGCAGTTCTAATGATTCTCATACGTAATAGAATGTTCAAACATGATTTTGATTAAATGGCTTCACTGGTTGATTTCAACTAGCGCACACGTTAATGAATGATGAAAAAATGTTATAACACAACCGCAAATCAAAAGTCACAATGTCAATACCGAACATATGTTTTCGGCACAATCAAAAAGTAAATTTGCTACTTAGGTCATCTAAGGTTACCTTATCATTTCAACGGCATGTTTTACCTACTTGAGTAAATTTTCCGTTTTGTTTACCTAATCTATTCGCATGTATTTTTGGCAATCAAAAGTGTATCAACTGTCTCGAAATAAGGTTGGGTTTTTTTTAAATCAAAAGTGACACATGGTTGCCCTACTTCAATCTGACTGTATTGAATTTGGAGACTGGTTTTCAGGCGCACTATCGCTTGTTCTGATCTCGATTAAATTTTAAGCAACAATTTCCGAAGTCAATAAACGCAAACGTACCTTGTACCTATAATATATCAAAGGAGAAAAAAACTGTAAAGATTTGTAAATTATATGTTGGATTTCACCTCCATTTTTGTAGCCATTTACGTTAATTACCATTTTTTGCTTCAGTTTATTTAACAGATTTAATGCAAACTATGAATTATTGTACACCGGCATAAACAGCAGCTCTCCACTGTAAAACAAAATCGATCGATGTACTTTGGAAAAACAAAAACTGCGTAAGAGTTTCAAAGATCCTTGACCTGAAACAAGTATATCTTTGAGTGAAACAGGCAAACAAAGTTAGACTTGTATCAACAGCCATCGTCAGAAATACTAGATACAGATACAATTTCGACATATTGTGATTGACTTTGAAAAAAAAAAACTTTCTATGTCTATAAAACGTTTTTATGTGGAATTTAATCTTTTATCACTTAGCTATGTGTTTGATTGAAAACAGGCTGTAAACAATCCAAATTATAGCCACTCGTCGGTGCATTGTCAAACGAAACTAGTTTCTGACATCACGTGAACAAAATGAATTTTTGAATCATAAATATTCAAACAAATTCTGTCTAGATTTTACTGTTCTTTGGGCACTCTCCCAAAACCGGTTATGCCAGCCAACCAAGAGACACATTATCGTTTTTTATTTTTAAATATTTTTTGGGCTTGTCTCACATTCGTTTTTTTATTTAAAAAAAAATGCGTTTCAAACTCGAAGAAATTGTTTAAACACACTCAGACGATGCGTGTTTAAATAAGTATACGATACTGGAATATCAAACAAAACAGACGACGCGAAAATCCATAGAAAGAATAAAACGATATAAACAAACAAAAGTCAACGGGAACGAGTTGAAAAGATTTCAGTGATCAATGTTCACCTTCAATTATCATTGAGTCGCCGCATTTTGACTGCTTTGGCTATATGTATTTATTTGGCTTTGACTGTATTTATCAATTTTTGTTTCGGCTCCAGTGTAAGCTCATGTGTTTCGTATTTCGTGTTCTCGCAATTATATAGCTCTTATTTCAAATTATCAATTCGAGCAAGAACAGTGCGTGGTTGCGTGTGCGTGTGCGTAAGCGTAACGACAATTTATGATAAATCATAGCCGGCACAATATGGAAACTATTTACTAATCACTGTATGTAATCAAAATCATACCAAAATCAGGTCAAATTTTACTAGTTTTTTCCACTAATTTTTTGTTTGTTTGTTGTCGATCTTAAGAGAGAACACAGCAATTGACTTGGCATTGATTCTAATTCAGAACAAAGTCAAATGGTTATGAGATAACGATGAATTTAACTAACTTTCAGAAATCTAACGAGTCGGGAGTAAAAACATTGTGGTGTTGTTTTGGTCTACCTCTCCTTCAAACAAAAACTGACGAAAAGAGTTCTTTGTATTCTGTTCTCCACTTTGGTTGGGTCATTCAACTTGAAATTTTGAGTCGTAGAAATCAGGTGTGTGCAGAACATCTTTTTTTTAAATAAAAATTTGGCACCGCACTGCTACATAGCCATGTTCAATAAGTCAGCTCCCAAGGTCACTTACGTACAGTTGTGTTTCGTTAGAAATACTATAGTTCACATTTCAAGATTTATAAGTAGCATAAATGCGAGTATGTGAATAACGTGTAATCTCATAGTAAGTGTATACACATACACACAGTGATGTCTTGCGAGACCGAATAAATTATTGCATGCTATCAGTAAAGTGGTAGATCATAATTTATGGCAAATAGTATGTTAACGATGTACTATTTTCAGAAACCTAACTGATAACGTTCGTAAGAACGTCCCAAGATCAAAATTGTTTATTATCGACATGTTGAAGGACAAACTAATTGATTGCTTTCTTGTGAATATAATGTTCAAATTAATTGCTTCACAATGCATTTTACACTCCGACACATCTCAGACATTGATTATTATTTGGCACACTCCACCAATACTTTCTTGCAAATTGGAGTTACTGTACGAGATATTGTGAATAAAAATTAGTATAACATTTTTTCTACTACAAAGCAAAAAATCAAGTAATCTTCTTTCTTGCCTTCTTGTTCGCTAACACTTCTGGATTGGCTTATTGTTCTCTATATTAGAGTAACTCGAGTTCAATGTATCAGCAATTTGTATTGCTTAATTTAACTAGTCCAAATTCTTTTCAACAGGTTTCACTCAAGGAACGCTTAATGGTTCCAGGAGCATTATCTCGGCACGATGTTGTGTAACTCTAACATTTTAGTTGATTGAGATGTCGATTGTTGTTCTAAGTTAATAATCATGTATTTCAAATTACATAATTGGCCCGTATAATGTCCTCAGCAGTCGCTAACTTTCAAGCAATGACAACCATTTCTGTCACTTATTATTTTTTCATAAAAAAAAACCATACACACATCAACAAAACCACACACTTTCCGTTTGAAAATGCACACTACGATCAAGCAGAATCGTTGAATAATTTATGACCGTGAGTATGTATGAATATTTTGAATAAATTTTTCATTTTGTTTGATTCGACGAGTGAATGCAGCGAACAGAAGCATCAACGAACGAACACAGAAGTATTTTTAAGTCATTCGGATTGAAGACTGCACATTGAATAAGAAAGTAGATGTTTCAAGTGATAGTGTCACATTTTCTGATAAACTAAGGCACTTTCATCATTTTTAAAATCGTGAGAGGGATTCAAAATATTTTATTTGCGTGGAAAGAGTTTCAGACGGCCGGCACAAATCGATTAAGTTTCTATTTCTGGGTCATTGAAAGTGATGTTTTTCTGACACGATAACACATCAATCGAACGAGAGTGAGAGACATTTATAACAACAAATTGCACACACATACACACACACACTGCTATTATCATCCTACTCGGTGTCGTTCGATTCTCACACACCGGCTAAGTTGTCAATTCTGTCAGTACACACTTTGCCAATATTCTAACGAGATTGAGTTAGTACACACAAACTACCGACGAAAAAAATAAATAAGAATAAATGACTTTTGATTTTTTTTTCTCCTTTTCTCCGATATATCACAATTTCGTCGAAATTTGGGCACCGACTGGAGACAGTCAGTCAACGTGTTTGAACATCGCCACCAGATGTAAGTAAAAACTATTTTTAATTAAGATTGACACACACAAAACAACACGATAGAAGATTGCTTTTTTTGTTGCTTTTGCTGTAAATGTTGAATAAATTGAACACAACACGTACCTCTCTCTTCCTCTACTAAACGGAACGGCGACTGAACCGAAACTGAAAACTGGCATCTGAATTCTGTTCGCTTATATGTTTCGATACAGTTCGTATACAGCTGTGCTGCACGCGACGTACGTTCGGCTCTCGGTCTTACGCGAGAGAATGATACCATGTAATAGAACTCGATGGAAATACGAAGAGCGTAAATGTGTGACGTAATCAACGTTACATCCATTGGAATAGGTCTGGCACAGCTGATACACATTCAATTTCCCTTTTATCTCACTTTCTCTCGGGAAAGTGACATGCTTTTGTGTTCGGGTCACCCATTTTCACTGTTCTTATTGGAATTTTCCACCTATATTTCGCTTCGTGTCAATTTACTTCGTAGAAAATGCGTTTTGGACAAGAATTGCAACCGTCTCCATCGAATTTGCTCCATCGCGAGAAACTTACACCTACCGCATATCATTGTTCGAACAGATTTTTTTCCTCACTTAGTTGTCAATATCCTTGTTAAATAGCTATTGTTGTTATGTAATGTGTTGTGAGTATCGATTAACTCTCACTTTGATTAAAATCAATATTTTCACTTTCTTAAGAAGGAAGTAAGTGGAATCCAATATATTTTATTGTATAGAACAATGAAAATCATCTTATTCTGGACAACTTTTCATTGAAGAAATGGCGTAAAATCAAAAACATCTTATCTTTCGAATCGTTTAACAATGCACAAGTTCAGTGGGAGGTTACAACATTGTAGGGATTTTATAAATAATTATTAATAAAAAATCCAATTTAAATTTATAAATTCTAAATAAAAATAAAATCTTCATCTCCCTAAATTAAATATTAAAGAAATTATGATTAGCATTTCATTTCCGACTATGATGACGAAAAACAAACAGCTCACATGACCGACACAATGTTTACATCCGAAGTTCACATCCTTGTAGTTGCATGCGATAAGGCATATCTCTTCCTTGTAATCTGTTCATTCATTCAGAATACTTTTTATTTCGGTTTAACTCATTTAAAAGTTTGCTGTTCAAGAGTAAAGTTGCAAATTTTTTTGGGTAGTAAATATCCAACATATTGTTCGAAATGAAAGCTGTGTCGTTCATTATTTTATTTCATTTAATAAACATATATTACGTATTGTTGATTGACGGTGAGAATAGTGGCTTAATAACACACTGCCAGTGGTATAATCGTTATGATTTTGATGTTGGTGTCATTTTCAACTGCAACAATTCAGAGAATGAGGTCGAATCGACCAAAAGTAATAGAAATGGTGAAATTTATTTCAACGATGCGGATGGTATTGAATGTTTCAGCATTGACAAGTCTCGTCAGCGATATTGCAACAAGCACATGATCGATGCGATTCAATTCAAAGGCTGCTCTCTGCACCACATTCCGTACACTACCTTCAGGGCTTATCCATTTATCCGGCTTTTGGACATTTCTCGGCTGGGTTTGGCATCATTGCAGCCGGAACATTTGCAACAAGGTGCAAAACGTTCGTGGGATTTATTCGCACAGAATAATGAACTCCGTGAAATACCTGCTTTTCTATTCATCAATGCTGGGAGTGTAGTCCGAGTTGATTTATCGTACAATAAAATCAAACGAATTGACCCACAAGGTTTTATTGGAGCGAATGATTTGTCTTCGTTGGATTTATCGGGAAATAAAATCGAAATAATAAGTGAACACGCACTTAGGGGCCTAGTGAATTTGACGCATATGAATTTGGCACATAACCAAATCACTGAAATTCATTCATTTGCATTTGTTGGGTTGAATAGGCTTTATCACCTCGACATATCGCATAATTTGATCTCAGTGTTGGAAGATAGAACATTTGCAAATCTATCTAGATTGAATCGATTGCAATTGTCGTACAATCAAATTTATCTAATCAAACCGTACGCATTTGCGACCGCTCTTAGTCTATCGAGACTTGATTTGTCACACAATAACATCACCGACGAACAAATATTCGAAAACCTTTATAATTTACTACATCTTGACCTTTCCCACAATCCAATCAACGAATTGGGAATTGGCACATTCGCTAAACTCGTCAAACTCGAACACTTGGACATGGGTCATACGAATCTCACCGATATCGAATTGGGAACGTTTTCCTATTCAAGGGGATTGATCTCGTTGGATTTATCTGAAAATAATTTGAAAACATTGGATTTTGGCCTATTTTTACCAGCATTTCGATATATGGAATCACTCTATCTCGATGGAAATAAGCTGTCCGATATGGAAGGATTCTCCAATTCTCTGTTTCCACGGTTAAACGCACTTGGGATAACAAATAACAATTTCAATTGCACTTATTTGAAGCAATTTATGAGATCTGTTGATTGGGAACAAATACGGTAAATTTGCAAACAAAATACAAGCCACATTCAAATAAGTATAAACAATTTCATTGCATAAATGATCCTTTTACAGACTTCCAGTAGATCGAATGCCCCTAAACATACATAAAACTAATATACGAGGCGTCGAATGCGATACAGTTGAAAGCAATGTCAGTTCAATGGAAGCCAATGTAGTTTCACAGCCAGATAATGAACAATCTAACATGGTTACTGCTGAGCTCAACCATGCAATAGAAACAGTGATAAGGCATCTTCCGGCTGTTAACGCAGTCAGCGATTCTGATATGAAAATTATAAAATTGCCCCGAACAAACGGATCACATCCGAATGTAATGATACTTGTATGGTAAGAACGATTTACAACTATGAAACGGATGAAAATGTACATTTTTGGATTGAATTTGAATTTATCTTACACAAATTTATTTGAATGTCCGAGAATGAAAACGCAACTTCTATTCACAACACATATAA